GTGAGTAATTGAACTGCAGTCACAGGGTATTGTCGAAGTTAACGTTCGTTGTTAAAACGTTTGTAAAAGAGCGACTGTTGAAAATAAGGGTATCGTGAAGTTATATTCAGAAAGAATAAACCAGTTTTATTAAGTAAGGACTTGTGTCGCTAAAGTTTCGTCGGAACGAAGTTACGGAAGGTTAATTAACAAACGGAGACGTAACAATATATTATGTATATGTTATATGACTCTTATTCTATGCATGTAGTAATAATTTTTATTTCTCATATGATACTAAATTGAACTACTTGTTAGCATTAATGCTTTTTACTTGATCATTTTAATATAAAATTAATTTTAAATGTTTGCATAAAACAAACATTTTAAGACAAGTACATGTAGTACCGAAAATGTACCGAGTTGGCCCTGTATTAGATTTTTGAATCCTCTGTTCTTGATCGATATTTATAATTGTTGTTATCTGTGCATTAAGGTTAGTTTCATACTTTCAAGCTCTCATGCATTAAAGATATCCTAGTTCATACTGAAGTTGAAAACTACATTCTACCACAGCTCTGAATTTCGGAGCTGGTGAGCCTGGTTCGAATTTGTGTGAAAACGAAAAATATTCTAAGCTGTGGGTGATTTATAGGAGTGACAGTCAATATCTTGTCGTGAGTTGTGTGATGTTGTTGATTGATTGTCTTTCCTGTGTTCAGTAGTTCAAAATTAGGGATTTTGGGAGATAGCTTTGGCATAAATACAAATATCCAATAGTGGAACAGCGGAATGTCTGCTGGCTTATAACGCTAGAAACGCTAATTATTGATTAGTACTGAATTCCTTAGTTTTGATTTTTGTGCATGGGCTTGTTCATAGAATGTTTTGTATATCAGTTATTTACCTTTTGCGAAAATGGTTTACTGGGTGTGTCGTCATGTAATATAAAAATGTATATATTTCGATAATTACATCATTATAATGTATGATGTAATATGTCTAGAGGGCGACAAAATCATATGTTTCTATTTGCAATCGTCACTGTGTGATTCGGGCCTAACAAGAGAAGTATAAGTTACAGTTTAGAACTTAGAAGGCTTATAAAGAAAAGGAAAGTTTTATTATGGCTGAAAACAAAACCAAGTAAGTTTGATTTTATTTTACTGGAAGTTACTCGTGTAGATTATCACATAACTGTATAGTTTGGAGACGGCTTGAAATTGAATAGGTAGTGAAGTTTATTACAAATGTATAACGTTTCGACAAATTTATGTTATCAATATCATGATATTGGATCCAGCATAGCTAGGTGGTTAGAGTGCTCGACTCGCAATCTGAGGGTCGTCCCACCAAACATGCTTGCCCTTTCAGCCGTGGGGCGTTATAATGTGACGGTCAATCGTTGGTAAAAGAGTAGCCCAAGAGTTGGCGGTGGGTGGTGATGACAAGTTGCCTTCCCTCTAGTTTTACACTGCTAAATTAGGGACGGCTAAGCAGATAGCCCTCGTGTAGCTTTGTGCGAAATTTAAAACCAACAAATATCATGATATTGATAACATAACTTGTCATAAGCTTGTTGAAACGTTGTACATTTGTAATAAGTTTCTTTCACTACCCATTTAACTTTCAAGCCATTTCCAAACTTTATTTTCAAAAAGTGCGGTTCTTGTCATCAAATTTTAATTCATCACATAATTGTAGTTCTGTAATTTGTAATCTGTCGTATCTCCACCTGAGTCGAAATTTGTAATTTGACCTTTATTATAATTTATACTAATACCAGTAATATAATAAGTTAATGTTGTAGCTTATATTATAAACAATTTCAGCCTCAGATACTTTTGAAATAATAATGCAGAGTATACTGTATTGTATGCACTATACTGGTGTAAGCACAGTGTAACTTGAATTTGTAACTATGCTTTAAAATTATAGTGTTAAAATTGAAATAGTGATAGTGTTAGGTTGGTTACATGTTATATTTTATCAAGGTGTTGTTAACTTAAATCCTTGCAAGTACATTTGGCATAAATATAAAAATATTACCTGGTGTTGCAACACTGCCAACAGTTAAATTGAAAACAGGCTTCAAAACTAACTCTTAATATAGCTCATAATTCAAGGTCTACTCTGATCTATTCAAAGTTTTATATATATTTTTTTGTACTACATCAAATAAATAATGAGGAGGGAAGAAAACCAAGTATGGACCCTGAGTTTTGGGCTACCTCTACATCATACTTAAGTATACAGCCTCTTGCAAATACCATTCACTTGTTTTAGTAATTTGCTGTTTGTCTGTTGAACGAGAACTAAGGAAAACAAAGCAAAGATTTTAAATAATTAAATGTCTTATTCAATTTCGGCAATAAGCATTAAGAACCCAAATCCCACTATAAACTATTTCTGTGCCTCAATAATACTGGTTACAAATAAAAAAAGTAGTTTTATTATTGTGATCATCTTCACTGTATGTAAATATTATCATAAATTGGGTCTTTAATAAAATTGAAATTAATTTTGAACATAATTAACTATTCTTTCAGTTTCAACCGATTTTCACATTTTTTTTTCATGATGAACACTCTGTCTAAATCATTAGATAAAGAATACATTATTTCAAAGTTACTCAGGACCATGATGTGGGAGTTTAGGATCTATCTAATTATCTAATGGTTAACATTAACTGTATTGCCTTGGTAAGATGTTAGGCTTAACTCTGATGAAATTTCCCTTCATGACTCAATTCTGTTATATACAAAGTCTGTTTAAGATGTATGCATATTTATCAAAAGTTCTGTGATACTTTTAAAAATGTTCAAAAGATTAATGATTATTGAAATGGTTGTTTTAATATCTGTTCAACTTATCATACATAGTTGCCAGTTCCATAGTCCAGATGGTCTAATATTGTAATATATATAGTTTTTAGGACTTGAAATGCACTCACCACTGTTGTGTTCTGACAACATAGAATTAAATTTTAAACTTTGGACCAATAGTCATTTTCTTTTAATCTTGGATTGGTAAAGAATAAACAATGTTCATTTTAGAATGCATCTGAAATACCAAAAATAAGATCCAAGTGTTATTTTGTTAGTAGGTGTATTAGAGGAGTCATTATGATGACTTTTAAATGATCTGAAAGTACATGTCATTTGACAGTATATGTCCGTAATATTTCCTCAAATTTCACACTTAAAAGCAGTATTTTATTACCTTTCATTTGAATTCCTGCTTTTAAAGCCAATAAAGAAAATGCTTTAATTTCTAAAATGTGGCTACTTAGAAAATAAAAGTTTTGTACTAAACTTTATATTTATTGAAGTTGTAACTTTTAACTTAAAGTATAGAAAGAATTAGTTTGAAAAATTGAGACATAATTTTGTGATAATCTTGTTTCTGTTTTATGCTGTAACATAAAAACATAAGCTATCCTGCTTGTTATTTACATTTGGATTTTGGTATGTCTTGGAACAATAAATTTTGAAAATACATCTAATTACAGATTGTTTTGTGTTAGATTCATCATCAAATTTGTATCAAAGAATTTGTGACTGAAATAATAGTGAAACAAACTAATGGTGATAATTAAAAGTGGAAAACGTATGCAAAATTTAATTTAATATATGTATGTATATTGAATAAACAGAATAATATTTTGCCAATTTTACCTTTGCAGTTATACTGTAAAATTCATATCCAAGTATTATTTATAAATATAAAGATTTTTTTCAGGTGATAATAAGAGGCTGTTTGTCCTATCTAGGTTATTTCATTTTCTACCATCATTCCATTCTACTCCAAGCTCCATAAAGAACTCCCTTTTCTTGCATCCAACCTTAATCTCCAAAACAATCGTTAAATTTCATCTTGATCCCCTTTAATGTTTAAGCTTTCATTGTACCTGAAGATGAACTGTTTCATAGGTCAGCTGTTATGTTAGAAGAGTAACTGCTTCAACTAGTCATCAACTTTTCCATCCATATCTTACACTTGTGTCCTCTAGTTTTACTGATAGTAAATGTTTTTCCTGGGTTTGTAGATTTCAAACCTTTCACAATCTTAAAAACCTCAATTATGTCCTCCTTATCCTTTCTTCTCTTCATTGAACTCGTATCAAGATTTCAACCTGTCTTCCTATAACAACATCTCCAAATATGTAATTATCCCCATAGTTTTTATCTGGTCATCGTTTGGCAATGTGATGCTTTCTTTAAAGTAAGATGGCTTAATCTGAACCCAGTATTCCAAATGAAGTCTAACCAGTGCCAAAGAGTGAATTATAACCTACAGTACTTGCACTCAATATTTCCATGTATAAATACACACATACACACGCTAATATACATTATCTAGAAGTCTTTAGAGACTGTAGTAGTTATGGTGAGATCTTTCACTATAGCTTCCCCTGCAGGCTTTAAGAATAATTTTTGTTGGGATAACTTGTAATATCCAACAAAGTATTTCCATTATTATTGTAATATCCAACAAAGTATTATTGATAAACATAAAGATACGAAACCCTGATAGAATTCAGAAGACTTAAGTGAATCTTGCTTTCAATAGTAAAGTAATATTGAGAAGCTTGAAGGTATGAAAGAGTGTTTGAAAGACTTAATTTAATCATCCTTTCATAATCTGATGCCATATCTGCTACTGGTGCATATAAAAATGCTATTTTTTGAAACAAAATTAGTGATTTAGTTTTATTTTGCTAAAATGTGTATATTTTTGTTGAATTACAAGTGTGAATACCGAGAAAAAAAAAAATTGTTTTTGTTTACATTTTTACATATTGTCCTTGTAAGTTTCAACAACTAGATTTCATAATGCAAACTTACACCTGATTGCTAAGGTGCTATAACTGCCATATGATTTTCTATACTATGGAAAAAAATCTTCAGTGTATGTACAACAAACTGTATATTGATATATAACTCAACCATTTTGTTAAAGACATAGGACAGTTAAAATTTACACCACTCATTTCTTTTAATTTATTGAAGTGTAAGCTATTTCATAGCAGTCCAATACCCCTAGTACACCCCCCCCAAAGAAAAAAAAAGATAAATTTGATTTTTTTGTATTTTCTTTTCTGCATTTAGTGTGTGATAACATTGTCTGTAAAATATATATTTTTTACTTTGTTGTAGTCCTGATGATCTTTCAACAGCTATTTTGAAAACTAAACAAAAGCCAAACCGATTGCTAGTAGAAGAAGCAGTTAATGATGATAACTCTGTCGTGGCCTTATCTCAGGTATTGTATGCTCTTTTACTTGATAATATTTTTAATCAAAAATAATTTCCAAACTCAGCTAGCCTCTGAAAAGTTGCAAATGTTTTTACTGTAAACTACTTTCTGCCTTACTTAGCAATGTTAGGTCATTGCATTGCTTTATTATTCTACTCTTTTTTTTTTTTTTATCCTGAACTATAACTCTGATTTCCACATGCACACTCAATCATGAAACTTAACTTTTGAAGTCATAAACAAATGGTTGCTATTTATTTTCCCATTGTGTAAATTAGGGACTGCTATTAGCAACAACATTATTCTTCTTTAAAATTAACTGTAACTGTGTCAGTATTAATTATTTCTTGTATTAAGTTTTAATAATATGTTACACAAGAAACTATTTCTAGTAACCCCAAAAATAAAAAATTTTGAGGCTATGCTTTGCATGATTCTAATGCACCATCTTTTAAAGATTTGAGCAAGTTCTAGAAAATTATGTTTATCTCTTTACCTCATGATAAAACAAGTGTGATATTGCAAACTATTAAATTTGTGATGTACAAGATTCATATTTTTCTAAATTTTTTAACTCATGCATTATAATTTGATAGTATATTTAATCAAAACTCAGAATCATCTTAAAATAATTTTAAGTTCTTAGCATTTAACAATTTATTAGATAATCTTTTATTTCTATATACTATTTACTCTTACCACAGTTTTAATTTAACTCTAGCAAGCCAATTACCAGATTTGCTACTGACAGAAAATTAACAATAGCCAAATCATGGGGTTCAATAGCCAAAAGTAGTGTACCACATGTTATGTGGACAATTTTTATTTTGGAGGAACTATTTGTGCAAAAATTATAATCATGTTTTTCAAATAGTTAATAATGTATTGACAAAAAAGGACCATAAGTGCACAAATCTCGAAGGTTCTGTCAATCTATTTTCCTCGTGATGAAACAGTTGTGATATAGCAATCTATTAAATTTGATGTACAAGATTCACATTTTTCTAGATTTTTCAACTCGTATGTTAACTGACATGTAAAAATTACTACTGATTTGTCTGGCATGGTTTTGATGTTGACGTAGCCCATGGTTACATACGGTAATCATGATATAGCTGTTCAGTGTGTGAAATTGATTTGTGATTGTTCAGTCTCCACTTTGTTCATTCCATCACTACTTTTTACATTACCCACGATATCAAATGGGAAGTATTTTGCTTTCACCACAATGAGGACATGATCACTAAAGAAGAAATGGAAATGTTTAATTTGAACTATTAGTCTTACTAAGAAGACAGCGTGTTTCTTACTTTTGATGATAATATTTATGTGAATAAGCTATTGGTTTCAGTAGCTTAAAAAGTGTTATAATAATCAATGTCAATATTTCATGTATCATACAAGTTTAAAGAAAGATAAATCTTATTTTATTTCACTCAAATTAGTTCTATTAAAGTTTCCAAGCTTTGCATATATCAATTGTGATAATAAACTCAAACTTTAGTCCAGTTATAGCTAATCACCAGCTAGAGATTTCATATTACAAGAACATTTTTTAACATCTCTCTTCATTTTAAATATTCTCATTTCACTCTTTTTCCTTCATTCTAGCTCAATATAGTGAGAATGGATTAATATTTTCAAGTTATTACATATAAATACCAACTTTTTACTAATTTCCTAATATTTCCATCCTTTTAGGCAAAAATGGATGAGCTTCAACTCTTTCGAGGAGATACTGTACTTTTGAAAGGAAAAAAGAGGAGAGACACAGTTTGTATTGTCCTTTCTGATGATACTTGTGCAAATGAAAAAATTCGAATGAATCGTTGCATTAGAAATAACCTAAGAGTAAGATTAGGGGATATAGTAAGGTAGGTAGAATTAGAACCATGGTGAGTTATTAGTTTATGCTTATGAAATGAGAGAAAATAATAATGGTTTTAATTAAAACTGGGAAGATATTTGAAAGAAGATATTAGATATTAGAAATAACCTAAGAGTAAGATTAGGGGATATAGTAAGGTAGGTAGAATTAGAACCACAGTGAGTTATTAGTTTATGCTTATAAAATGAGAGAAAATAATAATGGTTTTCATTAAAACTGGAAAGATATTTGAAAAGACATTCTACCAAAAATTCTAAACATTACTAGCCACTCTATTAAGTCTATGACATTTTTTAATGTATCGCATAGTACATTTATAAAAGAGCTCGTTTTCTTAAGTTTCACATTGAAAACAATTTAAGAATATGATTTAACTTCTTTTTTTTGTCTGTTTTCAGAATGGTCATAGTCATGCTATAAGTTAACAAAAGGATATCAACTTAATTTAAAATATGTATACATAAAAAATAGAAAATAATAAAATATTTACATTTCACTTCAGGCAGTTCTCTTGATTCTGATAAAAGGTAGTTAATCTTAAAACTTTTGCTAAATATTAAATTGATGCTAGTTTCTTATGTGTAATGATTACAAAAAAAACTCGGTATTTTGAAAAGTTGGATACGGCATTAAAACACACATTGTGAATTTAAACTAATTTTCTCTTTCAGAATACATTTATATGCCAACTTGTTCTGTTGAAACTAATTAATCAAAATATTATCAACTGTCTTTAAAGGATATATATATATATATAAGTATCTGTTATTTCACTGTCATCGAGATATTTTGCGAAGAGAAATTAGGTTGAAGTTATTGTTGATGGCAGTGAAATCTGTTTTGTGGAAATGTATGTAATGGAGTTCTTTCATTATGGTTCATAAGATGTGTTTATTTAACATATCATTGTCAGACTTATTCTTGATTTATGTAGTGTTCAAGCTTGTCCAGATGTGAAGTACGGGAAGCGAATACACGTTCTTCCTATTGATGATACTGTAGAAGGTTTGACAGGGTAAGTTAAGTTAGATGACTGTGGATTGACACCAGCGTTTTTTTCTCATTATTAAAATCACTCATGTTAGATCTTGTATTGCTAATAAAATTTAGTTAAGAATGATAAGAAACCTATTAATGAGTGTACATTAAATTTATGTTAAATGCAAATACCCTTGCCTGTTTTTGATGTTATATTGTTTGCATTATAGATTTAATTATTTTCAATTGTTGTATTAAGTGACATCATACAAGCATTGCTAGCTGCATGTTTTATATTATTAGAAATCTGAAATAATACAGTTCAAGGTATTCATATTTAGCAATAAATAGATAAAGGAAAACCAAAAAACAAACAAATCAACAATCAGAACAAAAACAAAACTTTTAAAATATTTATAAAATTTTTACTTAGCTGTATGACTTATACTAGCATCAAGTTTCTTCATTCATAATAAATTTTAGTAACTTGTTAATTACAACTATTGTATGAAAGCCATTTCTAAAATTTGATAATAAGATTAGGTTAACATTAGGTTAATAAGATTAACCACATTTCCAGTTATTGGTCTAAGGAGCATAAAGCTTTAAAAACGTTTGTTTTTTCTCATTCCAGTCGTGCACTAGACTTGTGCTATAAAATATTCAATAGATGGAGTATCTTATCTAACTAATTAATCTTAATTGACTAAAATGTAATTTGACCAATATTTTTTGTGATTTCATTATTAGAGGTTAATTATATACCATCACTTCTGATTGTTTTTCTACTTTAAGAACATAAGTAACTTGTATACCATGCACTAAATTTTGTGTTTTTAGAGGTGAAATATAATTTTATACCACTAAGTGGTATGTTTTTAGGTTCCAAAGTTAATAGTATATCACTAAATTATGATTTTTAGTGCATTTTCAAGGGTAGTATTTAACTGTATACTACCAGTTAAGCATTGAGTTTTCTGGGCAAAACACTTGTGTACCATTAATTTAGCTGTGTGTTGAAAAATTGGTGTTTCAAGAACTGTCCTAACATTTTGTGATAAATTATGAAATTGAAATTTGAATATCCTCTATTTTTTGTTATCTGTCAAGAAAAATATGTCAGTTTGTTTTAATAGTATTGTCACTTTGCAATCAACTTCTATGTTTGTCATAGAATTCCTATAAATATATTAATTTTGACCAAGTTACCCACTTCATGAACTTACTTATGGAGTTTAGTTATGTACTGTGAATAGTGGGAAAAGAGCTGTGCTGGTATAGGGGTTCTATAATTAAATCATATAATTACAAATCCACAGAAATTTCTTAAGTTAATGAAATTTAACTTTTGAGAAAATTTCAGAGAGCTTGAGTTTGGTGTATGTTATATGTAGTGAAACTCTTAGTATCACCTAGAAACCAGACTGTTTTATCAAAATATTATGACTTTGTGTGTTGCATTCCTAACATCTGTCTGTAAATATTGCTTGTTTCAATAAAACAATTAAGATTAAGTTCGTGAACAACATTAGTTCTCTGAACTTGTGTTTTTGTATTCCAAATTTTTGTTTTTTATATAGATTTCAAGCATTTTATTACTTTGGACATTGCTCATGTTTTGGAGTAAATACTTGCATGACAGATATATACTGAAAACACATACATGTAGATATCATTTGCCTTAGCATAGCCTTGTAGTTAAGGCATCTGACTTGCAATCTGCAGGTTATGAGTTTGAATCCCATCAAGGAACATGCTTGTCCTTTCAGCCCTGGGGACATTACTGTGTGATGGTTAACCCAACTCTTCATTGGTGATGGGTGGTGTTGACTAGTTACCTTTCCTCTAGCCTGTCATTTCAAAATTAGGGAGAGCTAGTGCAGATAGATAGGGCTCAAGTAGCTTTGCACAGAATTTAATCAAACAAACATCATTGATTTCTATAGCATAAAATGTGTACATTTTTGTAACAGTCTTATAAATGTTTATGTTGTCAGTTGTATTACATACTTCAGTAACATAAAAAAATTAACATTTTTTGCAGGAGTCTTTTTGATGTATATTTGAAGCCATATTTTCTGGAAGCTTACCGGCCCGTTCACAAGGGAGATATGTTTGGTGTCAGGGGTGGAATGCGTGCCGTAGAATTTAAGGTGGTTGAAACTGACCCTAGTCCATACTGCATTGTTGCTCCTGATACAGTTATTCACTGTGAAGGGGAACCAATAAAAAGAGAGGTAAAACTTCTCTTTGAGAACAATAATAAATTGTAGAATGGGTTATAAAACTTATCTTTCCGTTTCATAGTGAGTGGTTGAAATTTACATAAGTTGTGAATGAATTATTGGTAAGCATTATTTTTTAGTACCATGAACACAAACACACAATTTTTTTGTTTCTTTTGCTTTTATTTAAATCAGAAGCTCAGATGTTTTTGTAAATGAATTTGGAATTGGCTTTGATATTTTCTTACATAAGAAATGGTATGAAAATAATTGAAGAAATTAAAAATGTATAAACATTTTTTTGTTTCTGTAATTATCAAGCTGTTATCCTACAACATTAATTCATTAACATTGAGATAATCTAAAACTACAGCTGGTGGTTGTTACACAAATATCTAATTAATCACAAATGTGATACTTGTTTGTAAAAATTGTACTACTTGTGTTTATCGACTTACAGGAAGAAGAAGAGACACTAAATGCTGTTGGTTATGATGACATCGGGGGTTGCCGTAAACAGTTGGCACAGATAAAAGAGATGGTGGAACTCCCTCTTCGACATCCTAGCTTATTTAGAGCCATTGGAGTAAAGGTATGTTTATTGTATGTTTAGTTAAAGATAGAAGATAATTTAGAAGATGTGATTCTACTTCGCTGTTTCTGTCTTAGGGAAATTAATTTCAGAAACAACTTTGTACAAGGGCTTTGCAGGGGGTTGTGATTAACATGTTCAGATTTTGAAATCAAGGATTCATGGTTTGCTGTGTGTTGCAGAAAAAACTTGCCTTGTGCTGTGGGGCTGTACAGCCACTATAACAGTGATGGTCAAATTTTGCTATTCAGTTATATAAGAGTAGTCCAAGAGTTGGTGGTGGGTGCTTTTAGTTCTTATACTTTTTGTTTTGTATCTTGGAAGTAATGTTGATACCTAAAATTTTATGAAAGAATTCAGATTGACACATTGTTAGCTTGTCAGTTACTCTGTTTTGTACTTGTTGAGATAAATAATAATATTAAAAATTACTTTATTTTAGCCTAATCAGTATCATTTCAAGTGATCAGTGTATGAGCATCAGAAAGAACATGAAAAATATGAGATTATATCATGAAATATTTTTAGCTTTGTCAATAACATATCAAGTAACCAGTAAGTTGTAAACTTCAAACCAATTGAAAAATATTTTAGGTAAAAGATTTGGTCATTTCTTATTTGTGATGTAAAATTAATTTAATTTTTTTTCTTTTGCTTTCAAATACTTGTGATATAAAGTATTCACAAAAAAAGGTTTTTGTCTCTTAAATTGTAACTAACAGTTTAACTTTGCCTTGAAATTTGAATTTATTAAACCTGTCGTACATACACATTTTTCTTATGAAAGAACTTTGTGTTTTCAAGCCTCCAAGGGGTATATTGCTGTATGGACCGCCTGGAACAGGCAAGACATTGATTGCTCGAGCTGTTGCAAATGAAACTGGGGCTTTTTTTTTTCTTATAAATGGTGAGAAGTTTTTGTATTTTGATCTTAGCTGGACTACAGTGATTGTTATGCTAGAGATGTTGACTGTCTATGATAACTTTGTGGTTTTTATAATTTTAAATAATACTTAAACACAAGATGCTGATGCTTTATTTGGGTATTAACCCTTTCGAGA